AAGCTTCGTGCCTCAGAAACTGAAAAAAAGAAAGGAGGAGAGGAAGAAAGGATGGAGAAGGGAGGGAGAGAAGGGGATACTGAACAAAAAGATCCACTGATTGAGTTCTATAAAAATTACATTGTTTTGAGAAGCAAAGTCCCAGTGCAGAAGTTCCAAGCAGTGATGAGCCTCTTAAATTTTAGAAAAAGATTAGGTCCCAACACCTATCAGACTCTTAAAATTCATAGCCCAAGCACTGAGAAGCATTTCTGATATACTATTTTATTTTGGAAGTCAGGTACAAGTCCAGCCAGATTGCTGGGATATGGCAGGCACTGCAACTAAGGCGAAGGCTGTCCTCTTTGTATCGGCTTTAAAGTGCCTCAGAATTGCTGTATTGTTTTCATCAGAAAGTTATTGTAATAAAACTATGTAGAAACATAATAAATAAAAAATTTTAAATATGTTACTACTATAGTTTTTCTTCTGGTAAACTCAAATTATTTGGGAGTACCACCATACCTCTCCAGCTGTGCTGGAAATGGCCACTCACAACACTTCAGTACAGTGTTTGTATCTTTGCCAAGCAATGTCAGTGCATTGCAGGAAGTATTAATATCCTCAGTTATTTATCCAACAAAATTGCTAAATGCCATCCCCTCCTTTAAAAAAAACCCTTCCTCTAACTTTATGGTATGAGCTTCAGTTTTGTAATTTTAGAATTTTTTTTTTAAAGCAACATGAGAGAGATCAGAAGGAGAGAATATGACACAATGGCCTAAGATACTGCATTCTTAAGCTAAGAAGCTGTTTCCTCAGTTGCCGTAAACTACAAACCTCACCACTACCACATTAAGACTTAATCTATGGGTTGAAATCTATGAAACTTCTGCCAACAATTGCAGATTAGAAACAAAGTATTAAATTCTAGTACAGCCCCAGGTGGGATTTCCCGGAGAGCTCATTTAACCTGGACTCTCAGGCTTTCCTCTACACCAGGTGAAACAGAATCTCTGGATAGAACCTAGAGCGAATTCCTAAGTACATTACAAATTGGGAGCCATTGTCTGAGTTTTTGGGGGGAGTTTGGTGGAAGTCCAACCCTCATTTATTTTCTCATCTTCTATGAGTATTGTTGAACTCATGGCTTACTTTCCTACTCAACCCCAGTGCCCTGCATATGCCTTTCTCTACATCTCATATCTTATAGAAAGTTACCATCTGATGCCAGTCTCATCATCACTGTAGAATACAAGATCATGGGGGAAGACTGCCCATCCAGTTGTAGCCCCTACAACATCACACAGCTGGGATTCACATACATATGTAGTAAATGGAGAAAAGGACACCCAGTCAGTGAACAAGGTTCACAAAAGAAGATGCTCACACCAGTAGTGCTGATTCTACCACAGAAATTTCATTCATCAGTATTTGCTGTGTGCCTCCTATTAGCAAAAGGGCTGGTGGAAGCTCCAGGACACAGCAGTTACTAACAATGAAGGGGAGGAAGCTAGCTGTGAATTTTGTCTAATATTAACAAACTTTAGGAAAAGAACATAAACATGCACAGGAAGGCAGCAGCCTGTCCTCTGACTCTGATGTGAGTACGGGTTAGCAGACAGTCTGTCATTTCATGGGGTGGAAAAGTGCATACAGATAGTGGAAACACTTGGTCAAGAAGAACAAGTGAATTAATATACGTTCAGAATATGAGTACAGTGTAGATACAACAAACAAATCTCAAGTCCTTAAAGATAAAAATCATCCACAAATCGTGACACTAAAGTACCATTTGTGTCCTGAGAAGGCAAGACCTCCCCCCCCACCCCCAACTGTCTTTTTGCTTTCTAAGCTCCAATCTCTTGGGCCTATGTCTGCCATTCAAATAAGCTGGGCAGGACTTGCCCAGTACAATGCTGCTCATTTCACTCCTAACAAAACTAGTGAGAATGCATTGGGCATGAGTGGGCTTGGAGATATCTCAGGTCTACCGTGGTTTACCTAAAAGAGGGGCAGCCTCAGGGGCTCAGCTCCCCAGACATCGGCCTCTCTTCAGATACAACACTGGTGATGCTACTCACCTCTCAATATGTCGTGAGAGTCAAATAAAACAATAAATTATCGTCTCAGCTCTTTACTAAGTTATAGCCATAACCATCGTCAGTACTGTAGCTTTGGAGGGATGTCTGAAGTGCTTTCTTGCATGTCTCGCCTTGTTGCAGTATCAGACCGGCTGCTGACAGTGACACAGATGGCCACTTTCAATTGACAGATGAAGAGGAAGAAATGGGTTATGAAGAAAGTAAGAGGAAGAGACTTATAAATAACAACTAGTAACAAGAAGTTTTCTATGAACTCTCCAGTCTATGGAGATAATGGCAGCTTTGTATCCTTTCTAGTGATACCTGAACAAGGACTTTGAAACAAACACGGTTGGTGACCACTGGCCTTCTACCATGTACACTTCAAACAGCTCACCTATTTCTTAGTTCTATCAAAAAGCTGTGACATCATTTGTATTTCTTGTTGCCAAGAACAGCCTGGATTCTGTTTCTGCTTGCCCGTTGATGCAATCAGACTCCCAGGTACTGGTCACGCTCCCAGATCAGGGAGGAAGCAGCGATGCAACACACAGAGCTAGCTGTGTTTGCCCAGATCAGATCACACCCCCTACCAACACCCAACTTCACAGCAGCAGCATAGTCATCCAGGAAGTTTAAGTAGTTTTTTCTTTTTCTTAAAACAAGACCTAATGAGTTACTTTTGTTAGTGAACACAGCACTATGGGAATTCACCAACATGCAGTGAGATAATATGCAGTCTTATTTCAAATTAAAGGTGGCTGTTACTCCGGCTCTAAAATTACAGAAGCTTCTGAGAGGTCAGACAATACTGCACTCCCAGACAACAATCAACAGCTACATCGGGGAGACTGAGAATACCCCATATTCCAGTGATCTGTTGAGTCTAGACATTTCATATGATTTTAGCAGAATGGTAAGAGTGTAGACTGTTGTTTTCCAGTTCCCAAGTCAACATCTGTGGCCCAGATAATTTGGGCAAGTATTGTGTTAAATCACAGGAGAGAAAAAGATGCATATTTGTGTATATCTGGCAGAATGGCAGCATTCGCCGTCAAGTCTAACATCACATTTAGAAATTTTAGAGGAGAAAAAAACAAGCCACGACCTGGAGAAACGCCTTTCTATTCAGTTACATGAAAAGACAGGGCACCTTCACCTTTGCATCTACACGGCATGATGTGTTGTGTGTGTAGTTATGTGTACACACACAATTTGTAATCATTGAGGACCTGGAAAATGGGATGGAGGGAGGGCTGTCCCTGACGTTAAAGAAGATTGAAATCACTTTCCAGGCCATACATGAAGTGACACTTGCTGGACACCCTGGGTATCTTGGGCAGTACACACAGTTCTGGGCAGTCTCCAGAAGGAGGATTAACAAGTAACAGGTTTTCCTCTCCACACAACGAAAGCACCAAGCTGGTCTTATAATGTCCAATTGAACTTTGTTATGAAGAAGACCAGTGACTTTATTAGGAAGACAGCTGTTGTTAGCCATGCAGTTGATTGTTTCAAAGCCAGTAAAAGCATCAAATGCCTGCACCCAGTTTTCAGTGTAGCTTAAGAGCCTTCTTCACATTTTGCCTTACTATGTTCTTCAATAACACTTAAAAAAACAACAAAAACAATTAACTATTTTTGCTCTTGTTCATGGTTTAATTTCTAACCTTACTCAACTTATTTAAAACAACAACAACAACAACAACAAAACTCCAAAAACCAACCCTGGGTAGCTCACTAATAGAATGACAGAAGGGTGTTTTCTTTTTATTTTTGGTGCGAACCCAGCCTTTAGTGGATGATCAACTCCCCAGTCCTTATGCTTTCTTTCTAATGCAACTTTTTTAACATGTTTTTATTTTTTTTGAAAGTTTTCAATTTGTAGTCTAGGATGGCCTGGAACTATGTAGCCCAGGCTGGCCTCAAACTCACAGCAATGCCCCTGCCTCAGCCTCCCCAGTGCTAGGATTACAGGGATAAGCCACTATGTTGGGCTCTAAAATTCCTGCTTTTAAACTAACTCAATGCTTCCTATTTGTATTTTTTTCCCCTTAAAATGCTGTGTTTGAAAGCACAGGGATGCCTTCTTTTACGCTAAAAATGTACAAGTTCATGGTCTTTTGCGTGTGTTTTTTAAGGCCTTTCAGTACTGCTACATTTTAATAAATCAGTGTGTGGCTCTGTTAGTATGGTGTTGATGAGTCCTGGTTCACAGTCCATGGTGCTCAGCTGGGGTTGGAACAACTGTCATACAGCTTTTCACTAATTGGTAAATAGTACATTTTTGTCAACTAGAAATGAGAGAGAACAAAAACGAAAATAATTTCATGTACATAAACCATAATCTAATAAAGTATATGAATAAATTTTTATGTTAGGTAAGGAGAAAAATTAAAAGAAAATAGCTTATAGTGTATCTAATTGGCCTACAGTCTCTAAATATGAACACAAGACAGGGAAGTGCTCAGCCTATGGAGGCCAGCACAGTGCACGGCCTCACATGCTGCAGAGTGCAGCAAGGACAGGGCACTGCCAAGGAGCTTCCTGCCTATGAGTGCTGAAGGCCAAATTTGCAAATACTGTTCCCCAGCTGTGTAAGCAAGGTCAACTTGCATGAAAGGCACAGAGTGACATCACGCTGAAGACACCACAAAACACAGCACAAGTCACTAGAGCACAAGAGACCTCAGAATGATCTTCACTGGATTAAAGCTGAGAATCACAAAGAAATGGGAGTGGATGAGGACTCCAGGAGCTTCTGTTTTGATGCTACCTGCTTTACTCCTGTTGAAGACTTGACACTTGGAACAGATAGTTAAAATTCCTTTAGTGTCTGCCATATCACACAGCTGTAAAGACTGACCACTAAAAGCAATTCCAAAGGAGGATTTTGCTCCTATACTGGAACACGCAGTACACAAACGTAAAGTTATGAAGTTTCTGCAGTACTGTCAGAAAAGTTTGCAAGGGACCAACGGGACATGGTCTCTTTGGATCAGAAAAAGAAATAAAGAAATTAACTCCAAAGAAACCAACTTTAAACGTTCCTGCAGGGAATTTTGCACTTGGGTTTAGTACTGTAAAGAAAGGCTGAGGCACAGAGAGAGTATATCTGAAATGACACTATCATCAGTGTAAATGAACCTTGAGATAAAGACTGTGATCGCAGAGATTTACCCAAGGACTGGCCCTCATAATGCTTTATGGATAACATGTGGGCGATGATATGTAGTACTGCAATGCAAATTCTGGTTTTAAAATCACCATCTCCATGAAATTCCTAGTTCTTTCACTAAATAAAATAAGCTTCAAATCAAAAGCATTTTATTCAATTTCTGGAGGACTGCTGAACACTCCTGACTCAAGTTTCTTGGTTTCTCATGAGAGCTCTACCAGAGACAAAGAAAGCCTCCTTTCCCTCAGCTCAGCACTGGATGGTCCTTCTGTAAATGTGAAGCACTGTGGCAGGGTGTTGACGAGGACTCTCCAGGGAATAGCCACTCTGACGACGACCAGGAAAGAACGGCAGTGCTGGGCTCACAGCAGCCTTCCTCAGGACTCCAGCAGGGCATGCCACCTGCACACTTGCTGTCCTTTGGACTCCTTCATTGCAGTCCAGTGTCTGAGTTCCTCCTCCCCAGAGCTGTTCAGACCTAAGGAAATCCAGCCTATCATCTCCTTTCTTTTCATGCTGCGCTTGTTATACACTGACAGTATCAGAGTCACATCGGAAAGTTGAAACAAGGCCACTTGGAAAACAAAAGTTTCCTTGTACACTGGATTTGGCTGCCCTCTGCGGGTGGATGTCTTGCATTTGGACATCTCTTGGCCCATGGAATTCAGCAGTGTTAACTTAACATATGTATCTGAAGGAAGAAAACCAACACACCACAAATATCATTTGAAACAAACTGACAATGGTCTTATAATAAATGCCAAGATTAGGTAGTCACAGTTTATAAGGATATGGTGTATACCATGTTTGATGGAAACTGAACTAACTCAATTTTGATGTAGATGCTTATTAAATGTGTGACAAGTATAGAGAATGCTAAGTTGGCTGAAAATACTTAAATAGTAGTAATGGCATAGCCTCACTATTTCTAGGAATGGAATTTAAAGGTATACCTCATAATCCTTCCTTCCCCCTCCCACCCCTCATTGACCTCCCACAACCTCCCCTGCCCATCACCACCCTGTTTCACTCCACTAAGCGGGACATCATAGCATTAATAGACACTTAGCAAGCTCAATTAGCCACAACACTACAGCATTCCACTGTTTTCAGAGAGGAAGAATAAACAAACAAATAGAAATGAAGGCAGATGGTGAGGAGGAAAGGAGGAAGACAGGAATGCAAAGGTGACACTGAAACAGCTTAAGATGAAATGTCAAAAAAATCTCTGCATGGATGTGGTTTTTAAATATATATTGAAAACTTTTAAGGGCCCAATGAAGCCAAATGCTTTAAGGGGTCAATGTTTAGCAAACCAAGTAAAACTTCCAGTTTCATGCAAGAGTACATTTAATGTGCTTTTTTAGGGGGGGTGGGTGGATAGGTAGTTAAATACTTTTGGGTTTCTTTCAGGCAAAATTTAATGTAAAATTTTAAGAATGATATTTTAATTATTTTCATCAATTACAAAAACACTGACATGATGTTTAGTGTACAAAGCGAAATGTAACACTTCAAGGCCTTTTTATATGGGAGATATATTCTCTCTTTAAAAGACTTTTTAAGTCTGTTAGACTCATGCAAATGATCTCAGCATGTTGATCCATCATGTGTACTTCATATCAAAATTTCAAAGATAATTATGGCCTCATGAAATATCTATTTCTATCATAAATCAAAGTACAAAGAAATAAAAAATAACATTTATCTTAAAAGGTTTTGTTCATTCGTTAATATTCTGAATACCATCATCCATAATCAGAGATAAAGTCTAAGTTAGTTTTATTTAAAATACCACAGATAAAAATGTGCATTGTTTTGGAAACCAACATGGTGGACAGTCTCACTGCTGGCAAGTTTTAGGGCATTTTGTTTTTGCATGAAAAGACAACATCCAATTAGCCTCTACAGGAACTCACCTCGGATTATATAAACCTGTCCACCTATCAAGTGTTTTAGACAACAGAACAGTCCATCTGACAACAGGGGGTGGAAAGCAGTAAAAGAAATAATGACCAGATGTCAATCTTTGGGTGAAAGAGGGTCAAAGGTCAGAATTAAAGAGGAAACACTGTGCACTTGAGTGGAAAAACACAAAACTTTAGCATTTTAATTCAAGTAGAGGGTTGAACAAAGGGCTGTTTTATAAATTTCATGGAATGAAAAAAATTAACATCATTGTGTAATCGTAAACAAAAATTACACTGTTTTAAGAGGGGGCATATTTATAATGGCATCTTCTTGGTCTAAAGCACATTGAACATATAGAATCATGCAAATTATCAGGCTATAAAAGATCGAATACAGTCATTATAGGATCATTAGTATTGTGCTACATTTTAATTTTACCCATGCAATATTTACTATTTCAAAGAGTCTGATTACTTCCAATATTATCAAGAACTCAGTCATACAAAGTGAAATACGACTGTCAGAATACTTGCTCTTGAGTGTTGCTCCTGCTTCTTGGGGGTAATCTGAGGTTACCTGGTTTTCTGAGGTTCACAGCTTATACCCTGAGTATCAGTGAAGGGCTATAGTCTTACAATTTAGGACATGCTGACACAATTGTCTTCAGTTTTGCTTTGCAAATATCTGGCGTGTCTTTTCTGAAAGATTTACCTTCACATCATTATTTTAAAAGGTGGCTTGATTTACTTACTAATGACTTCCTAGCTAACATCACTAATCAACCTGAGGATGAAGATCTAATTCTAAAGTAATGGCAAGTGTGGTCACCCTTTTGCCCCAAGGACAGACTCCATGTTGTAGGTGCCCAACATTCTCAACATTTTTCTTGTCTAACCTTGCCTTGCTTGCCTTTCATTCTGACTCCCTGCACTGTATTTCTATATCACACTATCATTTTATCCTGCTACTTTTTGACATGTCCAATAAGTATTTGTGAAGATTTATTGAACTTCCAGCTTAAGCATGAAGCATATACTGACAGCTTGTCTCCTGGTGCAGTATTACACTGTCTTGTGGTAAGGCAAGCACAGCTGTGGTTGTCATGGCCTCACAGGCTCACATGTGCCCAGCTGCAAACCTCATTCAGGCTCTCTCCAGTCCTTTGTGGACAGATTCTTAGTGTGTTTGGATGAAGGCAATCAAGTCAGGCTCCCCAGCCTGCTTATTCTCAGTGTGTTCATTCACACACGCTCAATTTTCTCTTTGAAATGAGAAAGTGGATTCTCCTAATTCTACTTTCATGTACTGTTGTCAGGTCTGATTCTCACAATTACCCTGTAAAACACATAAACTTAACTTTACCTACTAAGAAACAGACTTGCAGGGTCAGGCTATTTTCTACAGAGATTATAATTTTTCTCTTTAGATTTTTCTTTAAAAAATTTTAAATATTATTTCATGTGTGTGGTGTTTAGCCTGCATACATGTCTGTACACCACATGCATAGTCTATAAAAATGGACTGGGTTCCCTGGAACTAGAGTTATAGATGGTTGTGAGCTACCATTTGGGTACTGGGAGTTGAACCTGAGTTCTCTGAAAGAACAACCAGGGATCTTAACTGCTGCGCCATCTCTCTAGCCTTGCCCTTCAGACTTCTCAATTAGGGATAGATGTATTCTATGATGTATGAAGTTCCCCAACATTTCTTGGCACAAACCTATTATTACCTTTCTATGTTTCACTTTCATTGAATAATGAATCTTTACAGCATTTAAAAGCAAAGTTAATGTAAAGGATAGGAAAAGCTTCCCCTCTACCTGGCACCCTGATTAAGAGTGTATTAAGGAAGTCTCTAGTCAATCTTTAAACAAATTTAAGCTATTAATCACTCACAATTTCCTTTAGAGTTTTGTTCAGGGCATGAGCAAGTTTAATTTATAGAATATAGAGGAGTTGTTCTGTTCCCATTTAGATCTGGCTCACAGATATAAACAGTTCTGGAGTGGGGTGGGGGCAATTCCTCTGCACTTCCCAAACCTCCTCTTTTCAGTAGAGAGAGAGAGCATAGGAGAGGGGACAGGCAGAGCAAACAGATGCCCTTTGCTTCCCATTCAGTCCACCTAGAGCAAGCACTATCTTGATTTCATTTGTACTGGGAAGAAAAGGTCTTGTTGACTGTGTAGAGTGATGCTTTTTTGTGTTTGTTTTTCTGTTTTTGTGTGGTGCTGGTGCTAAAACCCAGGCCTGTACATGCTAAGTACATGCTGTACCACTCAACTACATCCTTAACACCTATAATTTCAAAGAAGAAGAAAACTCAAGAAAATACTTTCTTTGTGAGGTGTTAAGGGTAGAAGAAGGAGAATATAGAAGTAGATACATTAGTCAGAGTACTGCACACAAACAGAAAATACAACATTAATCTTCAGCTAACAAAAGCTACTTTTCTGTTAATATCTGTAAGTAGTAGCTACTTTTTAAAACCCTGTAACTTCTTCTGGCATTAAAAGATAATGGCTATAATAGGGATAATTTATCCTGGAGACACTATGAAAACTTAGAATTCCTGTCACCATACAATTAATATATTGAATTTCACATTTTCTACTTCCCAAATGACTGGAAATAGAAAACATGAAAGAGGTTGGCTGATGATTCGGTGTTTCACTGTGATTGGTTCAGACTAAGATGATGGGCATCCCCTAAGTGCAGAAAGCATTGGGATATAGACAATTCTTTTTCACTCACTGGGTGGTCTGTTTGCCGCCAGGTTTTTGAAGTGGCTGCCTTTGATCACTTCTGCTGACAGTCTTCCAGTGGTGGCATTGTACAGGAGCCCAATGAGGATCTCTGGAACGGAGCCGTGTTCAAGAGACTGACAGGAGGATGTGCTTTCCCCACAGGACACCTCTGACAAGCTCACCTGGGAGTCACAGCCCTGTAGAGCAAGTGTGAAACTGTTACGGTATTTTACAAAACAGATTACAAAACGTTTTGTTGGCTCGGTGTGGCAGTGTACCCCATTACTCAGTATGCAGAGGCAGGTGAATCTCTCAGATCCACACAATGAGTTGAAGGCCAGCAAGAGCTACAGTGAGACCCATCTCAAACACCACCTACAACTACAACAAACAAATAAAATGGCCATGCTGTGTGTATTGAAACTACATCATGAAAGAGACGAGGGTGGAGAAGCATACCACACTCCCAAACACTCAATTAGAAATAGTCTGAAGACATTTCAGTCAACTGAAAGATGCAGAAACTTCCATATTCCTGTGTATTTGTAGGCAAACCAGAGAAATTTCTTTTAAAACTCCATTTATTTATTGCATGCCTGTGCATGTACACACACAAATGCACATGGTCAGTATGTGTTGAAAGTTGCAGAGCAGTTATTTGGACTGGCCTCTCCTTCCATCATGTGGGTCCCAGGGATTGAACTAAGGTCAATCAGAATTCGCAGCAAGAGCCTTTCACCTACTGAACCATCTCAACAACTCAACAGTTTCTTCAATTTATGCACAGGAATGAGGTATTTTCTGAAGCTAAAAGGTTATTGTCTAAAGATATCAAACTCAAAACATGGATGTGAATTTAGATTTATTTACATTAAACATATCAACTATATTTTGTTAAAGACAAAACAAAGTTTGGCACATGTTGGTAAATAAACAAAACTATCTACCATTTTTATGCTAAAATCTAAAATAGAGAGGTAGAAAAGTGAAAAAAAATGGTAAAATTTACTATTCACACAATAACCAAAAGAGAACTGATGTATCTTTGTGTGTCCTTGAAGATAAAATAATCATCAGAGGTGAAGGAGTACACTTAATGATGACAAAAATGAAAACAGAAAAATTCCAGATTTGTGTGTATTTTGTAATGTGGGCTAAAGATACAGAAAACAAGGATCTAGTAAACTTAAGGAGAAACATTCACCAGTAGCATCACAGCACATTTCTCTCAGTGACTGGCTGGGAGATTTACACATCACAGAAAGTGAAATCAACTATGGATATAGAACAGCACACACAACAGTGGCACCGAGGCCTTCCCTCATAGCAATGAAGCAAGTGACGGCCAAGTTCAAACGAGCAAAAAATTTCATACTATGGTTTTTGTTTCTTTACTTTTTTTTCACTTTTTATTTCTCTACTTTTCAAGACAGAGTTTCTCTGTGTAACAAACAGCCTGGCTGTCCTGGAGCTCACTCTGTAAACTAGGCTTGCCTCAACTCACAGAGATCCACTAGTCTCTGCCTCCTGAGTGCTGGGATTAAAGTTGTGCACCACCACCTCCAGGCTGATAGGATGTTTTTTGATCAAGTGGAAATATGAACTACTTTCTAGAGAGGAACAAAAGACCTATAATATATTTGAATACATTTCTAAGTAATTCTTGAGAAACAAATAGTAATGAGAATGAGATAGTTAACTGATTGAAAAGACCAACAAAGATGGATAATTTTCTGGAAAGTTCAATGAGAGAACAAGAGAGATCGAGCATGCTGCATATTCTACAGATCATGAATACACAAGATGGTAGCACAACAACTTCCAACTAATCTGACATTTGGATGAAATGGACACATTCTTAGAGAATGACAGCTAACAGAAGGGGCATTAGAAGAAAGAGAATACCCCAACTGTCTTATTTAAGATTGAACTTGAAATTAAAACTTAAAAAAAAAAATAGACACAAAACAAGACATTTTATTTGTGACAGTTCCCCTTGTGAACACTTTCAGACAATAAAGAGGAAAGAGTCCTTAACCCCCACCTGTGCTGAATCAAACAAACCCTTGGAAATAAGACTTAGGATAGACATTAAAGGAGCAAGAATGACAGAAGTTGCTTATTTGTGAATGTGGGCTTGACATTTCTAAATTAACAATTAGCAGACCAAACCCATAACACACAATATCACACTTAAACATTTGCACTGGGGGCAGGGGTGGCAGGATGGAGCTATAGCACACACAGGCACTAGGTTCAGATTCCAGCACCACATAAACTGGGCATGGTAGCACATACCTGTAGTCTCAACACTTACATGGTGGAGGCAGGAAAATCAGAAAAGGTTAAGGCCACTCTTGGCTACACAGTGAATTCCAGGCCATCCTAGCTTACATGAGACCTGGTCTCAAAAAATCTTATAACTTTTTCCCTTTTGAAACTGTCACCACTACTGTGGCAAAGATCACGGAGATTAAACCTGTTTATAGTTGTAATAAATGGGTGGTATTATTTGGTTTTTTATTCTTTTCAAACTATACTGGGTTTTCGGTTTAAGACAGGAAAACAGGGAGGGAGTAAAGAAGGGAGTGATGGAGGGAAGAGGAAAAGAGAAAGGCGATTCCATATAACAATGTAATTAAAGAATTTTAAAATTTGAAACCATCTCTCTCAGTTGACAGAGACTCCTATATGGGAGTGCAGTGACCTGACTTTGACTTATGAACCCTATATGGTGGAAGAAGAGAATGACTTATGACATTTGTTCACTGGTTACCAAGCATGAACTACAGCACACCCACACACAACTCTACACATGCACATGCACACGCACACGCGCGCGCGCGCGCACACACACACACACACACACACACACTAAACTTTTTAATCTTAAATTTTGTAATGTCTTAGATAAACCTTCAAGTTTAAATCTACTCTTGGCTACGTGAGTAATAAAAAAAGGATGAGCACAGATCTGAACTAACTAATTGGTCTAGCTTTCAAGAAGATAAAGTATCATTTTTCAAATATACCTCAAAACTACAGAGTAGGAGCCAAAAGGAATATATGTCTTACATTCCCAAGTCATGGGTAAAACTCCCATGGTTTGGTATGTTTCCTGACAGTTGGAGAAGAAAATACAATTTTAGTTTCAATCAGGGCTATATCATCACTTCTGAAAATGGTGTCAAAAACATGCTTGAACACACTTGCTGAATTTGTTACACTAAGCTGCATCTGTTCTACCAGCAGCATCTGTTAGAACAAAATGTGAACCTAATAGGAAATGTGACCCCATAGCTGCCTGTCAGCCCCGCCACAGAGTCACCAGGGATGCTTCTGGTAAGGGAGACAAACACCTCTCTGGCCATGCTATTGCCATGGGAGTTCCCACTGCTGTGCACAACAGGAAGAGAGTTAAGACCCTTAATGATCATGTTCTATCTGCGTCAGCCTGAGTGTAATGCAATAGCCCTTACATCACAAAAAGGCTGTTCTCTAGGAGTTCATTTTGCATTCCACTTTAGAGAGAGTGGTAAGTTGATGTCAGTGCCTATCTGAGATAGGCAGTGTCCAAGGAGCCCACTGAGGCTGTGAGAAATGGAGAGCCAGCACATAGAGTGAGGGGCAAGAGCAGACTTCACACTACTGCTCCTCCTTCATTCTACCTTTGCTAATCCCTGAAGATCCTGTCATGAATTTACAGCAGGGGCTCGCCTAGATGCCAGTAACTATGGTTGATTAACCCAGAGCCACAAAAATCTGAACAGGTACTGAGCTGGTGTAAATGAATGGTGCCACAGGCTTTCATTTTATTTTTAATATTTCCTCTTCTTCTTGAAGTCTTTTTTGCCAGAGGGTGAAGGATTATTGTCAGTTCTGAGAGGAGAGAAAAAAATCTTAAAATTTCAGACAAGTGAGTGAACTCTATAAAGAGTTAACCTTATCCAGAATCAGTTGCCATGGCCTTAATGGCACTTATAGGTTTAAATCAAGTAAACATCCAGAATAGCCATTTGATGAACAACACAGTTCCCACAGAGTAAACATACTGGGCTTCTCATTGACACTAAGTAGAGTCTAGCTCACTTCTAACTACTTAACACTCAAAATTTTAAAGTTGAAACTGAACTGTATAATAACTGATGCAAATTTGAATAATCTGTGTTGAATTTATTCTCACTGTGGCTAAAAGACAGCATTCATATTCCAATTTTATATATGAAAGTGTTCATTATGCTGAAAGTGGGTGATGGAGGCAACAAGGGCACCGTCAAGTAAGACAAGGGTGTCACATGTGACAACCGGAGAGGATGTCAGGAAAGAGGTCTGCTAGGGAAACAGCTATGGAGCTGCCGGGCCATGCAAAGGAGAGCAGCAGAAGATGGCCTAAGCCTGAGTGGGACTGGAAGCCAATATGTCTAAAGCTGGGCTGCACTGGTATAACTCACCAGACACTCAGACTCAAGAAACATAGCTGGTCCAGGCTTCAACCTGCATCACAGGACCAGTCACCCTTCCTAATTCCTCAGGCTTGTCCCCTATGCTTGGTTTCATTTTCAGTCTCTCTCCTTATTGGTTGCCAGATGGTTTCTGGAAGTTCTGTGAATTGTGAGAGAGTAAACAGCTTTCAGAGGATTTGAGGCCTGTAGAGTTGGATAGTCAGGGCCAGGAAGTCATTTCAAGAGTTTAGAAGAAAGTATGTTATGGGTTGAACCTGGTCCCCACTCCCAACTTATGCAGGAGTTTAAACTCCAATGTTATAAATGAATGGCACAAGGCTGTGGTGTTTAGGGTTAATTATAGCAGGTCACTCACATGAAACCTTCAAGACTGAATCCTAGTGGCTTTGTAAAGACAGGAAAAAGACACTCCCTACCCCAAGACATGCAAACTCATACCATGATGCACTGCAGCCAAGAGGGACCCTCACAGACCCTGGCCCATGCTGAAGGGTCTTTTAGCCTCCGAAACTATGAGCTAAACACACTTCTTTTCTATATTAATGCTGTGATCTATACTAATGTGATGGTCTCTTTCAGGCTCCGTGCTGGGCTTGGTGTGTATTATTAGCTGAGCAAGGGGAGAAGATGGAAAAAAGCCTGGTGGCTGAGGGCTGTCATACCAGCTTCTCAGGAAGCTGAGGCAAGTCAATGGTAAGTTCAAGGTCTGCCTAAGTTACAGAGTGTAGCCAAGG